CTAAAACACATTCAATGTGCTTTAGTTCAAAGCACACCACGACCATTTTCTCAACACGGAGGCACACTGTGCCACTGATGCACATGATGTGCAGGCACTTTTAATTAGTGCAGCTTGCTAATTAGAAGTGCCTGGCGCTGCATTGGAAGCACATGTAAAAATGTCCTCTGCCCACAGTTTAATTTGTGGCAATGGGAGTGGAGGATGCCCAGAACCTTTTAAAATAGACCTACATAACTACAAGTTTTAATAACTGCCTTCCATTTTGTGCATTTTTTCTAACAAAGGGACTCGCATACTAATAGATATGGCAAAAAAAAGTTCTGCTGGGATAATAGCATAGGATTGGTTTCATTCTCCTTGCTGTTACTGCAGTGTGTTGGCCAGCAACCTGTCACTTGAATATACACTATTGTTAGTGTATGATACTGTTGATATGACAGGTATATGCAGCTTCTGTAAAAGGGGCCTAAATAGCTGCTTTTTATGTTACTTAAATCGGAAGTAGGCACAGGGTTCAAACAGAGTGCCTTGTTTTCTCATACATTTTGAATTGTGCAAGCAGTTTCCAAACTTCAGAAGTTAACGATGGGTAGGAAAAATAGCAGCTTCTTGACTTACAAGAAGTGCCAATGGCTCATTGATTTCTTCTGCCATCTGGGTTACAGAGCAAATCTGAGAACTATTTCTCCTTTTATTTTTGGAAGAAAAGCATGGCCTGTAAAATGTTAAAATGAGGCGAATTAATATTTTTTGCAAGTGAGGAAGAGAGTAGAGGCTTGCTTTCTTGAATAGTACTCGGGTTATTTTTAAAGTCTAACCTTATTCACTCGTTAATGTCTGCCTGACTTACTGCTTTCAAGGGAAGAGAGGGTCTCACTTTTCCAAGAGATGAAGGCGTCAAGGCATGTACCATGTAAACAATACCAACACTTTCCTTTTGGCTAAAATGGGTTTTCGTTTACTTGTGTAAAGGTTTGGGAAAAGGGAAGTTGTTGGCTTTGGGGAATCACAGCTGCCAGCTTTTGTGTTTTATAGAATCTTAACCCTTCAAGGTAGAGATCAAATGTTCAAACAAATCATTTTGATGTGGATGAGGCCTCACTTATCTGACTTTCAAGCTGCAGCTGAAATACTGGATTTCTCATGAATGTAAGCAGTCCATTCTTTAAAAATATGCCAGACTGTTTTGTTAAAGCTGGTAGGCTTGCTAAAAAGCTGTAGCGGTTAATAAGCAAGATTTTTGACCCCTTCTATCTAGTTGAGCTAGCTATCCTTTAATAAAGGGTCTTCACAGTTGCACAGTTTAAAATGCAGCCAGCCATTGACTTTACTTTTTGATGCTGAAATTGTTTTGAATGGAACGCAAGATTTTTGCTTTCCTTGTTTTCACAGTTCAGTGGGGATTGCCAACAATTTCAGCTGCAGGAGTAATAGGGATGCTTAGCGCAGTTGTTGCTAGCATTATTGAATCAATTGGAGATTACTACGCCTGTGCGAGGCTGTCTTGTGCTCCTCCTCCACCTATTCATGCAATAAATAGGTAAGTTTCTTGAAAAAGAGGAAACAGCAGTGCTTTCTATGCTGCCATAAGGGCTTTTCATTCTTGACAAAACCAGTACAAATGTTGGTATCAGAGCGAGTCTAGAACTTTCTGATCTGGAAGCTGAGATTTTGCTGTAGTTGATCTGTTGCAGTGGAAAAACTTAAATGTTTTAAATCTCAGTTCTACTCCTGCTGGAGTCAGTAAAGTTAGATTTGCAGCTTCAGGAGGAAGTGGTTCTGACAGCACTTGAAATTCCTAAAGTTTTGGGATTTCTCTTTTTTTTTAGTCATATTGAATTGTTCCAACTTTCTAAATTCACTTTCTGGAATACAGAGTCTAGAATCCAAGTCTGCAAAGTGTTGAACTGAGCTGACAAATAAAATGTTAGGAGTAGAGAATACTTCTGAACTCCAACATCTCTACTGCAGTATGTTTTTCTGAGTGATTTCAGGTCCGTAAATGTCTGTGAGGGGGTAAAGAGAGCCTGTTACGGTGGTTCACTCATTCTAGTCTTAGAAAGTTCTGTGGATCAGCTCTTTTGGGCAGAGACACAACATGTAATCATTTCTTGAATCTTGATGGGTGACTGTTTTAATCTGCTTTTTAATGTTTTCCCTTTCGTGGATTACAGAGGGATTTTCATTGAGGGTCTTTCCTGTGTTCTGGATGGAGTATTTGGTACTGGAAATGGATCCACTTCTTCTAGCCCCAACATTGGAGTTCTGGGCATCACTAAGGTATATGTTCTATTCTTTTTATGACTGGACAGTTGTTCCTGGGTATCATTTAGTCCTGTGGCGTTAGCCTCATTCAATTTGCATGGTTCATGGTATAATTCTGTACAGAGAAATAATGTGATCTATATTGTTCTGCATATGGTAGTCTGAACTTCCTTGATTTGTCTCCACTGCCAGCCACTTCCTTTAGAAAGGTGCCTTGCAGAAAAGGATCCTAAAAGCTTTCCTTCATATTTCTTTAAAAAAATGTTAAACGAATTTCAGGAGAGTGACTGGAAAGAAACTGCAAGCAAAGTTCTTTTTACCCTTCTCAAAGACTGGACAGACTAGACAAATGTCAGGGCTCTACAGTAGATAAGAATCAATGTCCTTGTGTGCATCTGTTCTCTGAAAGAAGCAATAACAATGACCTGAATATTTTTAACCCTTCCTTTTGATACCCACGTTAGTACAATTCAGAGTCTAGAGCCTCGTCTAGCCTTTGTTGATTTTTCAGCCTTGGGTGTAGTAATGTTCACAAAACACCACCAGTATCGGTACTGTTGTAGCATATGCATGCCAGAGGTGTGCACTGGTCTACTTCTGTCAAAGAAGCTACAATATATGTAAAAACTCAATTAAGACGAGAATAAAGGTGACCTTCCAACAGCTGCTTGTTCTTAGCTCCTTACAGGTTTGTATTGTGCTAGGCATCCTTTGGCTCTGAGTTCTGGATTATAGATTCCTGTTCAGGAGCTAAGTTAAATAATGTGTGCAACTCGGCCTTTTGGCTAGGATCAGGTGTGACTGGGGGCTTCCAAACCCCAAG